CATAATCCAATTAAAGAAAAGAGAACTGAAGGAAGATTTGCCACAACAAAAGATGATACTAGAGGATATTAGCTCTTGGTACTGGCAACAAGCTAATACCTATTCATCAGGAAATCAATATCTTCAAATATTTTCAACCTCAGGCATGGAGAGCTCTTGAAAGCAGCTGGGAGACCTGTGTTTCATTAAATGAGTTTGATTTACTTGTTTTCTCAGCTATAGTCAGTATTTAATTATGGAGAGTTGTAAATTTTGACACTGAGATTTACAAGGTGCTGGGTGTACAATTAGTTTTGTTTTTTCTGGACATCTTTTTGTCCCAATGCATCTTTGGACATTTATCCCTCATTTTGCTGCTTCAGGGATGTGCTTTATATATACACAGCCCATTTAGTTCATAAGCAGCACCTCTAATATTATTTAAATTCTGTGTCCTGTCTCTGAGAATAGCTAATTTCAAATTATTCAGAGGGATGCCAAGTATTACCCTGTACCATGAATGAGCAAGTTGTTTTCATTGTCTAATCCCATGTCATGCTCTTAAGTGATATCTTGGAGTACTGAGTGCTCTAAATGCTATTTTAAAATTAACCCTATTTTACCAGTTTAAAACTTGCAACTTTGCCTGCTATGAGAAAAGAGGGGTAAGAATGTGGATTTACTTTTTCTGCATTTAATACTTCAGTCACATACTGTCTGGTGGCAAAGTGTTGTTCCTAAATACTCAATAGCATCAACTAACACCTGCATAGCATCCCAGCAAACTGAATTACGTTGTCTATCTGTTCATGATGAGAACAGATTCCTTTTTCATAAACAAAGAACCCTGAAGGTAAAAAGAAAGCATTATTAAAGGGAAAGTGGAAAAACAGAGTAATAAATCATCAGGCTCACCCTCTTCCCACAGCAGATGGGGAAGTCACTAATCCCATCCCACCTTGGCTAATTCTGCCTGTGCAGGCTCAGGCAACCACATTGCGGGGTGCCTCCATCTCTGCCCCTGAAGAAGCATGCAGTCCCCCAGGTCTCTTTGCCAGCTGGGGAGGAGGCAGGGGAGGAGACACCCTAGGCTAAATAGCATTAGTCAGAACATCTCATCTCTTTGCAGCCTGTCTTCAGAAATTACTTCCCCTGCTTCAAATGTCTTACCTCTACGTACTGGGTCTGCAAGGCTTCACCTGTGCCGACACTCAACTCATTACACTGTACCAGGTTTTTTTCCTTGGCTTTTTTTTTTTTTCCTTTGGTACTGCTGAAGAACTGAAAATCCAGACCCTTCTTCCTCTTTTGTAGGGCTCCTCCCTGCTTTCCTGGAAGGCTTCGTTGCTGGCTGGGGTGACTTCAGCCCTGGGGTGTCCCCCTACCCTGCCCTTGGTCTGGGCACAGCATGGCTTGTCCATTCCTTACCCAGTGTGATTAGGAGCATTTCATTCATACTCTCCTCAAACTTGGAAGTATTTAAACAGGAGTGGTCTACCTCAGCACAACAGCTGTGTCAGTGATAACGGCTGCCCTGGTCACCCTTGCTCTATAGCAGATGCAGGCAGTGGGCTCGCCACAGAAAGTGGCCACTGGCCAAACCTCCAGGTTGTTCTTTGGTTCCCTTTGCCTGCGTCAGTCATGAACTCTTGCCTATTGCCTCAGGCTCCATGTACTTTTTATCATTTCAGATCTCCTCTTCCCTTTCCTTCATATCCTTTATTATATTAAACAGTGCCAGCCTTTCTAACCATGAAATCTCTCCTGGACACACAACTTTTTTGCTCACTTTCTGAGCTGCTTTCATATATGCTACATGCTATATGCTATACTGGGACAGGTGTATCTGAGCAAACAATATCTGCAAGCATATTTAAATTTACTTTAATGATACTGCTGCATTACTTCCCCATTTTTAATCTCACTTTGCTACCCAGGAGAGCATTTACTTACTTCCTAGCTGCTATTTCTTACAGAACAGGGTCCTTATTGAATTATCCAGAACAGGACCCAATTTTGGCATGTTGTTACTGATTTTCTTGTGACTGCTTTTTCTGGAACATGCACAGAAGCTAATTAAAAAATATTTTGTTCAACTCATAGTTGCTTATAAGAACAGAATCTCCCAGTATAGCTCTTTCCTGACTGTGCCAGACAGAAATTGTGGTTAAATGGGAGATGTATCTACTCAGACAGATCAATGAAGGAGGCAAGTACAGTCAGCTGCAGCAAAGGCAGAGCACCCTGCTCCACTGGGATGTGTCACTTGCACTGGGACTGGCTGGACCAGAGCTCGTGTGACAGACCTCAGTTGTCAGCCGCAGTGTCTCAAAACAGGTGAAGCAGTTCAGCTGGGGAGCAAACCACTCTTTATCTCAGGAGCCCCATGCTATAAGCTCACCCAGTGTTGGGAGGGCGCCCTTGGAAAGACGGCAGCAAGGAACAGACTGACAACAGTAGAGCAGTTTGACTGTGTGTCTCCTTGCTGCCTCATCTGAGCAGTGTTTGAAAAAAAGGACAGGCAGAGTAGCAGCACAGCTGCTGTTTGCCACAGTTCTCCATATGGGTGGAAATTTTCCTAAGTCATGCTTCTCACTGGGGCAAGGAGCAGGCTGTGAGCAAGAGCTGCTCTGCTTGACCTCCCCACCTGCAATAAATCTGGTGTTCTTCCAAAGTGCTGAGCTTGCTGCACAGTGCACCAGCTACCTGGCTGTATGCACAGGAAGGCCAACTATGTGTCTAGCAGGTCATGGCATAAAGCCCTCTTCTGCAGCTGGCAGTCCACCTCTTTCTTCCTGCCATAAAACCAGACAACCATTCTGTAGATGATGGTAGATATTTCCACGGGGCATCAGATATCAGGGGTGCTTTGTGAACCAGGACAAAATGGAAAGTGTCTGCAGCTGACTGCAATGATTCCCTGCCTTTCAGTAATTCATCCCACAGGACCTGGCAGACTTAGCCTCGGCCAGTTGGAGAGAGACATCATCAGCCTAGAAAATGTCTGATATGCTTTTTCTTATCTTTCCTGAATCTATAAGTGGTGAGAGAAAGATCACCTTTCCCTAGCTGAAAAGTGACAAAGCATTTCCTTCCTTTTTCTGTTAGGCACCAAAGAATCAAGAGCCACCATCCATCTGCCAGGGGAAATGAGAGCCCAAAAGCTCGGGGACAGTTTTCCACGCACTTGCTTGTTGCACTGCTCTGTCACTTGCTAGTCCTGGCTCTGGTTAAAGTTCTGTTGTCCTGGTGTCAAAGGCCACATGCCAATACCAGAGGCTTGTCAGTCAAAGGTACCAGTCAGATGTTAAGACAACGTGCTCACAAGTGATAGCCTATATTGCACCCTGACTAGAGCAGTATGCCATAACTCCAATTGCTTGCCAGAGGAACATCCCAAAGTGTTTTCTGACTGCCAGTGTAAGCAGCAGCTGGACATTGCATGTCCATGTTTCAGATTTTGAGGATAGTGTTGAAATCCCCACTCAGCAGTAGGAATCTAGCAGTCGAGTTAATCAAGAAGAGGAGTTTCTGACTTCAAACTGAGTCACTTGCATGCTGTTAACATGAAATACCTATTTGTTCATAAGAAAAGCAGTATGGTCCTACAAAATCTTTCAGTGTGACCCTACATTTCCTTGTACAAAATTGTTTGCCTAGATAACGTTTTGATCTCTAGCCAAAGATTTGATTGCCCTTGCCAATGAAAATATGCTTATTTGAGCCAGGACCAAAGAATAGTTTAGAGTGGACCCACCACAGTGAAGTGCAGCCTATGCCCAGCTGTCTAAGTGTGGTGACCACAGAGGCATGAGAATGATGTGAGCTTTGTCTCTCTTCTCTTCTGCATCTGGACCTTCATTTTAACAAAAAATGGGTGAAAGATTTCTAAATGCTTGGTGGTCATACAACATGTGTAGTCATTAGGTCTGGCTACTACGTGAACCCCCACAATTACGGTGCTTCTGTGAAGTAGCTCCCTTTTTAACCTAGGAAGAGGTCAAATCTGTCTAGATACATTTAGTGCATAATAGATTACCCTCATAAAAAGGTTCTCAGCACTAGAAAACTCTTGACAACTTACTTCAGAAATTAACTGGCCACAAGATTAGCAATGTAAGCCTAACTTCTGTTCTGAATTTTACTAACTTCAGATTTTCACTACTGACTTTTAGACCTATTCCAAATAGGCTGAAGAGGTGTTTATTATGAATTTTTTGTGCTACCTCCTCCCCCATAGCCATAGCCATTTTCATATGCCATAATTAAGTTAGTTCTTCATTTGGCAGGCCTGTAGACATGCTGCAGGAAAATGTAATGAGCACAGAGAAGCTGCAATATTTCTCATCCCCAGGATGCAGGCTTCAAAGCTCTATAGCTGAGGTTGCAATGACATGATCACTGAACCTTTCAAGCCTTCATGATTCATTGTGGAGAAGTACCTTGATTTCAAATGCTTCCCTGGAAGTCATCCTCACTTTGAATGTGAAAAGTCTTTCATGTGACTTCGGTACATTTTTAGTAAGGATAAGTTCAAACCAGTGAGTTAAGAACAATCAATGGGAAGGAGGGGATGGACCAACACCAAATGATTATCATTCTTCTTTTCTGAAGAGAAGGGTTTGATTCTTACTGTATTCGATGCTTCCTTATTCCCCATTTGTCCATCTAAGTCTCTCACAGTGTGCTCTGTTCATGGAGGTCTGATCACAAGTTTTACAGGGTCTCCTGTGATCAGAGTCATGCAGGAAGATGGTGGTAGGATACCCACTTCCCATGTGTGATAGAGAATTAGGCATCCAGGAGAATCCATGACACTTGTTTGCAGAGGTGTGGCTGGCACAACTGGTGTGTCTTACTTACTCTGAAAGTTGGCATGTGTCCTGTGCAGGTCATTGGGTGGTGGTAATCACGAAGGCATACTGGGAAGTTCATGGGACAATGCAGTACTCTCATGGCAGCATGAGGTCCTGGCGTGTAGCTGAAGTCACTTTTCATCTCTTTCTTTTGCAGTTCTCAGAGATGGGCTCTCCGTAATGCTTTGGTTATGAAGAAAGAAGGACTGCTGAATTGTTGTTTTGCAATGGAGAAGACAGAGGGAGAAGCACCAGCACTGTGGCTCCCACCCTGTTGCTTATCCCCCTGCAGACATGTGTCCCAAGTCCTCTCTGTGCTGTATTAAGGAAAGGAAAAGCTTAGACATTACAACGTGTACTTTCTTACATCTCCTTTTCCCATTTTGCATCCTATAACCCCCTGGTGAAAAGAGGAACAATGACTTTATATAGCTGCTGCTTGGTTTTTTTGCTGTTTACCTGGAACACAGCTGCCTATGGGCCAAACCAGCGGGCACAGAAGAAGGGAGACATTATTCTCGGAGGATTGTTCCCCATTCATTTTGGAGTGGCTGCTAAAGACCAGGATCTAAAATCAAGACCAGAATCAGTGGAGTGTATAAGGTAAGGCACATAAAAAGAGAAAATAAAGATTTTGGTGGTGGAAATCTGGCCTTTCTTGACTCCAGGTGACATGCTATACACTGTGTAAATACAGTCTGTGATCTGATGCTTGTAGAGGCAATGCTAAGGTTGGGCTGGTATGGTGTAAATAAGAGAAAAGGCAAGTATGTAAAGACAGGAAGTGTATATGTTAAACAGTAACACAAATAATACTTGGACAGTGAAAGAGAGCAATCCTTGTATTACCCGAAGCTGCCAAAAATGCAAATATACTGGACATTTGAATAGTATCTGAAAATTGGCTTTCCAAGCAGAAGGACAGTAAACAACCCATAGTGCATTTAAGTTAACTTGATTACAGTCATGCATGGCAAAATATCATAGAAATCAAATTTTGTTTGTTTGCTTGTTTCTTGGTTTGTTTGTTTTTCCAGTTATGCCTGTCATCTTCTAAGTCTTTACAAGCTGTTTAGTTGCCGAAATAAGTGAATAGGTGAGATAGGTCACTGCTTTTGTAAAATCCCACTGAACACATAGACGTCTCTTCAGGACCTTTGCAAAGTCCCAGACTTGAACTCTTTACCCAGACTTTACTCACACAAAGTCTTTTTCTTCTGTGTAAACAGTGCATATAGATTTTGTCTTAAGTCTTTGGCAGTTAACCCTGGAGGAAGAAATGAATATGAAAACAAATTCTCTTATTATTGAAGCATAGCCATTTTTATGATGAAACATGAGGAATTTTTAACCTTGAAACCCTGCATATAGTACACGTAAGAATTGGAAAGTGTGACAGAAATTGATTGCAACTGAAGTGTCATATAAACAAAATATATGAAATTAATGTGGAATTTTGTCATGACCATGCATGGGAAAACACTTCAGTGTTGTGGGACCTCTTCTGTAATCATATGTGAAAAATTGTGTATCTGGAATTACTTGGACCGCTCATCCTAGACTGGGAATCTGGTACAGTTTTGTTGCAGATGGCAATGAAGAATGGCTGACAGCATTGCTG